CATAAAGGGCACTTTGAATTGTCAGCACAAGATAACATTGCTGAAATGCCAAAGTCTGGGCGTAATTAAGTGGGCTGATGGAACAGAATGACTATGAGATGACTTTTAATTGGTATTTGTGCATGTTTATGTGCATATTTTTCTGTGTTTGTATGCTTATAGTAAAAAATCTGGCCCATATAGACTAGTTTAGATACATATTTTTTAGTGTTACATTAAAATATTTTCTTTTTTAAAAATCATTTTCATCTAATATCCAAATACCACCTAAAATATGAATAAATTGCAGGCCTATATTGTATAGTATATGTCACTTTACATTACGACTTTAAATTAATCTGTTGAAGAATGTGTAATTATCATTTAACTATATTTATTGAATCTGGGCATTATATTAGACCCTAGGATACAGTAATGAACTTGGCAATGAGAAATACCAATAAAAGAACAGAGAGAGAAAGAATCATGCCAGGTTCTCAAGCTAAATTTCAACTCAACACATAAGGTAGTACAGGGCAATAATTAATAATAGAAATAGTTACCATTTATTGTCTACTATGTAGCAAATACTGTGTTAGGTACTTTACATGTTATTTCATTTGTTTCTCACGACAGTCCTGCAAAGCAGAAATTACTATTCTCACTTCATAAATTGAGGAAAACAGGATGATTAAATTTAATGGGTTCAGGCTCACACAATACTAAGTTTAATACTGAACCAATATTAAATCATAAAAGGAGTGTTGATGGTGACAAAGTTACTGTGATTTCCAGTTAAACATGGCAAATTCACCCCTATGCATTTCCCCCATTCTTTCCCCAGGCCCCAATATAATCACACTACAGAAATTAAGAGGGCTTACATACTTAAGGAAAAAAAAGAACTAAATGGGAGTGCAGATGTTAACCAATTTGGAAGCTGGAAAACAGATGGATAAGTGGCAATAGACTCAAGTAAACTACAGAAAACTAAAAGTTAAGTGCTATGGGGAAGGAGGTGGGGTAAAAATCAAGCCAATTCATGCCACAGCATTCCAGGAATGCCCCAGAATAGGGAGGCATCAGATACCTCTGAGTCAGGGAGCATGGGGCAGGGGGACAAGGTGACATTGCAGAGGACTGCTTAAGGGACTCATGGATTTTCTGTCCTCTATCCTAGGCAGAGGTTTGGAGGATTTCTCTCTGCTTAAATTAAGTAGATAAACAGACCAGATCTACAGACCCTGATTTTGGGGGATCCCTTTTGAAGTGACTGAGTTCTGCCTTATCAACCTAGAGCAAAGCCCATCTCTCCAGTATCATCTTTCACCACTCTACTAAGTCCCTTCAACTTGAGTAGCGGATGTACCATAGCTGCTCCTTATAAGGAAAGGAGTGGTTGGTTACTAAAGAAAGTTAAAGCAAAAAATCATATACCGTATATAAAAAAAAATATATGATATATATCTCATATATAACATTATAAATAATATATATGATGTTATATATTACATATTTTTTAACCAGTTCATCACATTTTTATTTGCATGCCAATCCACTTTGAGGAGGTGTCCACTGATTGGAATTCACCTTTTGTCTCTTGTACAAACCATGCTTCTAATGCATCACTTCCAGTTTCTATTTCTTTCACACAGAATGCAAACATAAAGACACCTTTCAAGTAAAACGAGTGCAGAATCCTTCAAGATTTAAAGAATTCAGTCCAACTCCTCTTAGCTATTTTGCCTATGCCTAATAAGCATTTTTTAAGTTAGCAATTTACCTTTTATCAAGTCTGCACATTCAACTTTGAATGTTTTATAGAAACAACTGTTTTCTTACTCAGATTTTAATTTACAAGAATATGTAATTAAAATATGGAAACACAATAACAAGTACACAGACAAGCTTTCTGGTTTGGAAACAAGCTTGACTTTCAGAAAGTGTCTCTTCCTCCTTGGTCTGAGTTACATTTTCTGTCTCTAAATTATAAGCAATACAAGATAATAGAGGTGATTTTGACAGATCAAAAAGGGCTGTGTAGGCCACAGTGAGGAATTTGAAATTTATTCTATGAACAGTGAGAAGTAACTGGAGAACCTAAAGGAGAAGAATATCATTTGTGTTTTGAAAAGATCCTTTGACGATGATGCAGAAAATACATACGGAGGAGGAAAAAAGGAAGCAGGGTAAGAGTGGCTGTACTGCACTGGTTACAATGAAGATGGAAAGGAATAGATTTGGGGTCTATTTTAGATTGTCAAGATTTGCTGATGGATTGAATGTAGGGGAGGCAGCGAAAAGAGAGAGTTTTAGAATGCCTTCTAGCTTATCAAAACTTGAGCACCTGGTGGGAGAGTGGAGGCGGCATTCACTGAGATGGAGAAGACCCGTGGGGGATAAGTTTGGATTGGGGAAATGAAACATTCTATTCCAGTCATACCAAGTTAGAAAAGGTGACTAGCTATCCCAGAGGAGATGTTAAGTAGGTGTTTGGAATGTGAACTTGATACTCAGTAAAGAAGCCAAGGTTAGAGAGATAAATTTGGGTTTTAGACTGGTTCCTCTGACCTTTAACCTTAAATTTCTATTCCTTTTTTCATCCCCATTGGATAGTATCTCTTGATTAACTATATCGTAAATAATGATTTTAGCACCCTTCTTCTCTTCTTCTCATTTTCTGTCAATTATGTACATTTCTTATGAAAGCTGCTAATATATATTACGTTCTGTAGCCATATTTAAGCTTGTGTCTACAGATCGAGCCTAAAAGTTGAACACTACTAAATAGCATGCATAATATACATTATTACATATATTTTGTTTATTTAAGGGTTGAATGTTGTGCCAGGACATCATTTTTTTTTCAGTGGGTCTAATGCCCAGTGCCACTTTAAAAGAAAACGGTTTAGTATCCATGCCACGTGAATTCCCTTTTCTAGGTCAAAAAGTATTTCCCCTGAGAACTTTGAACGCATTAACTCCATTGCACTCTTGCATCAGTGCTGCCTGACTCCATGTTGATACTTCTTAGATGGTGACTTATTTTTCTATCCCTTTATGGAAGCTTTTAGAAACTTCTGCTTATGATTATTGTTTTGAAATTTTGTAATGATATGTAGGGTGTGTATCTTTTTCCCCTTCATACTTAGAAGCACTCAGTAGACCCTTTTAATGCATTTTCTATAGGGAAACATTCTTATTATTTTAGAGGTTGTATAGAGTACTGTATAGTACCAGTTATGAGTATATGTACTGAAGTCAGGCTATCTGGGTTCAAATACCAATTATTCACTGTGTAGCCTTGGGCAAGTTATTTTAACTACATGCTTGCTTTCAAAGGAGTTGAGAAGATGCCACTCTAAAATGCCACTGGCATATTGACTATATTGAGTTAAAGGCACTTGATGCAAGTTAAAGGCACAGATGCAAGAAAAACATTCTGACCTTTCTTCTGTTTCTCAAAAGCAGGAGATGAAATCCTATGTGTAACAGGAATTTGAGGTGGGGGAAAATCTATATAAACAAACCTTGTTAAACTCACCCTTATCTTCCTAGACACTTCTCTACCCAATTACCCTAGCCCAAACTCCTTTGCCTTGTCCCATTTTTACAATTTACTACTCTTTGTCCAATTTAGTATATATGTTCTTCCTATGTCTTTGGGTCTTCATTTCCTTATGAAGTCTCCCCTGCTGTGTAAAGCTTTTATTACATAAATTTGTATGCTTTTCTCCTATTGATTTGTGTCAATTCTCAAGCCCAGCCAAAAACACTAAGAGGGTAGAGGTAAAATTTTGCCTCCCTACACTTTCTTATCTGAAAAATAAGAATATTCATAGTATTACTATACTATTATATTGCACAGAGTTAATGTGGGAATTAAATAAGTTAATATTTAGAAAGTTCCATAAAGTGCCTGGCAAACAGTATGTGCTCAATAAATGTTATGTTTTGCTAATTATCTACCTTCATTTTTACTCTTCTCTTTTCTGGAGCTCTGGAAAAGTTGGATTTCCCAAACAGATCCTCTATCTTGCTTTCCTTTTCATTTTCTAAGTTTTTGTTTTGTTGTTTCATGCTCTGTGATATTTCCTTGCCTTTATCCTCCAAATGTTTTTTTTTAATTGACATAATTCTAATCTTTGGTTTTCCATTCATAATTAAGAAGGAGATGGGGGGATCGGCTTGATTGACCAAAACGAGGTGTGATAGTTGACATCTGGCTAAGACACTGGGTTCTACTAGTCTTCATGTTGGGATAGGGTGGAGTGCTCATGACTGGAGCCTTTATTTAAGGGACAGGCTTTGAAGTAACTCTGACTCTCTCCTACCCACTTTTTAATTCTTGCCTTCCGCTATGCCTGCTGGCTCGACATGTAGCTCAGTCGGGGCTTTGGCCAGTCAGATTGTCTCTTATTTGCTGCATCTCTTTCTAGGTATTGCTTCTTCATTCTCTTTTATTTATCAATAGGCTTCTACTCTTTCCTACATTCCAAAAAGTTCTTCCTTCTATTCTCTTCACCCTTATGAGTTTATTGCTTTGCTACTATTCATAGTATTAGGGTCTTAGAAGGCAGGGAATTTCAGTGTGTGTGCTCTGTCTACTGTTCTGAACCAGAAGCGGAAACTTTATTATCTTTCTAAAGGACAGGTCATTGTTATAGATTATCTAAAAGCCCCCTTCATCAATAGCCTGCCTTCCTTGAAGCGACAAGAGTTACAACTATTAAAATGTGGTGGCAACAACAATGAGCAGAATACTACTGAGTTTCTGACTTTGAGGCTGGTATTATGAATGATCAGTACAATTTTCATTATCGCATATTAACTGTGTTTGGAGTCAAACTGTCTACTAGGAAGAAATAAACCTTCCAAGGGCTGCACTAGCTGTGTGTACATTTTCAACTTCTGTAAGGAAGTAATTTTTTTCAGAAGGTGTTGGCACATCTAATACATCTTAGTTTTGATAGCAATAACTTGAAATAACAAAAAAGGTTTTTACAACTGCAAAACCTTACCTATTCCGTAAGAAGGCTTTTGCATCTTGCTGTGTTTGACTGGCAGAACCAGTGGACATGTTGGTTTTTGGAAGTCACTCCTCTGGGTGCTCTTAGGGTCATAAGGTGGTAGGAAGACAGGTTCCAGGGCTTTACCACGTGGCCACCAGTCACCCTTTAGAGAAAATAATTGGAAACACAAAATTGGATACTGTAGGGCATTTTCAGGTATTACTTGATGTCTATGGATATTCAGTAATTCAATTTAACAAGTTAGTAGATATCCTAGCACTAATATGGAGTTCTAAAATCTAGAAATATCTTTTCACAAAAAATGTATTTCTTTTAGGGCACCAAAAACATAAGTTGTCATATATTTTTAGCTAAAATACAGCTGCTAAATTCTTAAACTATCTTCCTTCTACCGACAGATGAAATGGTAAAAATCAACAAAATAGCTGCTTTTTGTTTTGTGCTACAATTTTATTATATATGTACATATGTATGTATTAAATGAGATTTGATCTTAAAAATTTTGTTCTGTACTTGTCATTATGACAATACAAATAATGTATTATCATCTAAAAATGGTGGTTTTCAGAGTTTTTAGTCCATAACCTGCACCATGAAATACATTTTATGTCATACAACAGCCACAATGCTACACATACATAAAACTAAGACAAAAGTTTCACAAAATACTTATTCTTACTCTGTGCAGTGTGTTCAGCTGTTTTTCTATTCTATTTTACTGTTTTCCTATTTCATTTCCCATTGCTGACTGCAACTCATTGATTTATAATTCACTGATGACTCAGTTTGATAAACTTGTTTCTAAGGGAAAGTCTCTCCATTATCACTGAATTTTGGTACTAAAACCTAAGTACACAAGAAAGGGAAAAATGATAGATTCTTCATTAGCATGTACGACAATTTGTTCTCTTGGAAGGTGAAAGAGTAGAGAGGGGAACTGTTAGTCAGCTTAATTCTGATCAAAAATTTAAAAACCGGTTGATCAGGTGGTAGTAAGAAAACCCTTGAGAAATCCTGTGATACCTAGGAGTTCCTGGAATACAATTCGGGTATGAAAGTAATTTTTGGTATAACCAAACACTTACCATGGGCAATAAGGAAGAAAGTCTGCCTCTAAAAAAATCAACTTTGATTCCATAGCCAAAGACTTCTAAAATATGATTGAAAGGGGATGAATATGCAATTCTAATAGGTAAAATTCTATCAATACAATTGAGGCTACATTGATGCAAAAAAGGAGATGTTTCTTTAAGAAAAAAAAAAAAAAAACCTATGTAGCTGCATAGGGAGTCAGCTCTCAAATGAGCTTAGTTTAGAAAAAGACAGGCATGTATAAAAGACATATACAACATAAGATTTAAAAAATAATGGAGTCAGCTTGTTAGAAGATTGTCAAGAAACGTAGAAGAAATTTATAAATTGATAAAATGTTATAAATTTATCAAATTGTCAAAGGCAGCAAAAATAAGGTTTTCTGGAAAAAATTGTTCATAGCCGAGTGAAATCCAGCAGTCCAAAAAAGGTTATCTTTCATGTTCTGGCTAACAATTTGGAAAGAAGAATCTTGTTCAGGAAATCAGAACAATTCAACTTTAGGTTCTTTGTTAAGGAAGGTTATGGTCAACCTGAAAAAGATGAAATGAAGATGTACCAAAGAAAGAACTAAGCACTGAATTAGTAGCTTAGCTTAGCCCAACTAAGCACAAAGTTGGACTTCACTTTTTCACTTTAAAAGAGTGCCAGTTTTTAGGCCAATGACAAATTGTAAGCAGGAGTAATGAAATAATGGGTAATTGAAACTAGGGATAATTTCTGCAAAGATCACAGAAATTTAGGAACTAGGGGATTTTGGAGAATAGATTGACTAATGCTTCATTTTTCAGAATGGGCTAAAAGGTGAATTTTAAAAATCAAGACTACTTGACGTAGATCCTAGGAAAATTCTAGAACAGATTACTAAACAGATGGTGTCTTCTCACTATCTGGCTGAAAATAGTCACATCTTACTGTTGTCAGAGCGCCTGCTTCTGGCAGCTCTCCTCCACTCCACTTCACAATTATGATAGTGCTTCTTATGCCCCAAGTTCTAGAATTTAAAGGTCTTACCTTTTTCTCATCACAACTCTATGAGGCAGGCACACCCACTTTACAGATGAGGAAACTGCCAGGAGATTAAGTAGCTTCCCCAGGGTATGTCACTAGCAGACTGCTGCACTGCCGCAGTTCAAAGCCCACCTCTTTGTGCACACCTCTAATTTCTGTGCTGCACTCCTGTATCAAACCTGCTGTGGAATGTAACACCGGCTAAGCACAACCAAATTGAATTAGTTATGAAGTGAAACTAGGTCAGGTGCAGTGGCTCACACCTACAATCCCAGCACTTTGAGAGGCTGAGGCGGGCAGATCATGAGGTCAAGAGATCAAGACCATCCTCGCCAACATGGTGAAACCCCGTCTCTACTAAAAATACAAAAATTCACTGGGTGTGGTAGCACATGTCTGTAGTACCAGCTATTCGGGAGGCTGAAGCAGGAGAATCACTTGAACCCAGAAGGCGGAGGTTGCAGTAAGCAGAGATCACACCACTACACTCCAGCCTGTCAACAGAGTGAGGCTTGGTCTCCACAAAAAAAAATAAAAGAAGAGAGGCTGCCTCTTTTCTGCTGGTCTTTCATTCTATTTGG